AAACCTGCAATTCAGCTCTTTGCACTGACTCTCCCCTTCTTCCATGTCTCTCTTTTAGGACTTGTTCACCTAAAAAGAAACTGCTTTCACCCTCCGCAAAGCAGGGTGGTCAATAGAGTGAAGGGAGAGAGACGCTGGGCTTTGCTCCCCAGGGATGCTCACAGGGTACCAGACCTAACTGCGCCCCACACTCACCCCTCCTAGGGCTCCCCACCCCTGTGGATCTGCTGGTGGCGGAGGAGTGCAGAGCTCACGGTGAAGCCCTTCCCGCAGTCGGCACAAGCGTAGGGACGCTCCCCGGTGTGGATGCGCCGGTGCTGGATGAGGTGGGCGCTCTGCCGAAAGCTGTCCCCGCAGTCAGCACAGGCGTAGGGCCTCTCCCCTGTGTGGACCCGGTGGTGCCGGAGCAGGGCTGATCTCCACAGGAAGCTCTTCCCGCACTCGGTGCACTCAAAGGGGCGCTCCCCGGTGTGGAAGCGGCGGTGCTGGATGAGGTGGGAGCTCACAGTGAAGCTCTTTCCACACTCCGTGCACCCGTAGGGGCGTTCACCCATGTGGAAACGCCGGTGTTGGATGAGGGCTGAACTCACGGTGAAGCTCTTCCCGCACTCGGAGCACTCGTATGGCTTCTCCCCCGGGGAGCTCGGAGCTCTGGCTGAAGCTCTTCCCACACTCTGTGCACTCGTAGGGTTTCTCCCCGGTGTGGACCCGCTGGTGACGTGTCAGGGCTGAGCTCACACTGAAGCTCTTCCCACAGTCGCTGCACTCGTAGGGTTTCTCACCGGTGTGCACTCGCTGGTGCTGGATGAGCTGCGAGTTCCCGGAGAAGCTCTTCCCGCACTCGGCGCACTTGTAGGGCTTCTCGCCGGTGTGGGTTACCTGGTGCCGGATCAGCTTTGAGCTCATGCTGAAGCTCTTTCCACACTCAGAGCACTTGTAGGGCCTCTCCCCTGTGTGGATTCTCTGGTGCTGGATGAGATGCGACCGCTGCCGGAAACTCTCCCCGCACTCGGTGCAGGCAAAGGGTTTCTCTCCAGTGTGGATTCTCCGATGCTGGACGAGGTTGGAGCTCACCCGGAAGCTCTTCCCACAGTCCCCACATATCGTCAGTCTCCCCACAGAAGGATTTCTCTGCTGGATAATATCTGGCAGCCTCCTGAAACTTTTTCCACGCAGCATCACTCGGCTTTGTCTCTTCCCCAGAGGTCTCTGAACCCTTTCTGACCTGCGTGGGAGGACTGGGTCCTGTGCAGGACTCTGGGAACTGTTCTCCTTAGAGAGTCCCAAGAGTAAACCTTTGGGCTCCACTGGCCCGGGGATGCCTTGGTGGGCATTTTCCTCTTTCTTGCTCACAATCCCATCTTCAGCTGCAATAAAATGAGAATCCAGAGAGAAGTCACAAGCAGGACAGGAAACTTTGGACAGGGGAAATCAAAAGGGGCAAAATTCTGAAAATTCAGCAGACTGACTTTATGTATAAAAAGTTCTGATATTTCCCTCCAAACTACACAGTGGATTTTTCAAAGTGTTCACAGGAACAAACCCTGGAAATAGCCCTGCATGCTTTGCCAGAACCTGAATCTACTGAAATTATTGGCATATTAGAAGTAAAAGTTTAGTGCTTGAATGGGAAAGATGGCTGCTCTTCCAGGATATTGTATCTGAAAATGTTATTAAAAGTTGAACTGGGAGTCAGAGGAAGGACATAAAGAACTGCCTTGTTCAGCAGAACATTACTTGGGTTGCAACAGATGCAACCTCCCTGCTCTTGTGCTGCTAGTAATGCAGAGAGAGAGAAGATGCACAAAGGAGACACTGACCCTAAGGCATGAGACATGCAGACCACCTGGAGCCTGGCTTATGCGAGTCTCAGAGCAGAAGAAAGGTAACTTCATGCTTCCATTGGTGCAGAACAAATCTGCTGTGAAAGGTGGTTGGTGAACTGAAGATCCTCCATGGCTGATTCCAGATTATGTGCTCAGGAAATCTGATAAACGTAGAAGATGAAGGTAGTGCAAGTCAGTGGAAGTAACACCAGCTGAACAGTTATGAATGCCTCCTGGGACACAGGCAATGAACAAATCCCTGCCCTCTTATTCACATAAAGTCTTGCAGAAGCATAACCAGTATGAATCTATGCTGTGCAGACTCAAGGTCAGCTGAAAGCTTTCCAAGACAAGGGGCTTGCATAGATTTCTAGGGTATTTACGCAGAGCAGCAACTCCTTCCAGCCCCCTGCTCTAATGTAGTTTGATGAGCATCCTAGCAAGTTCAAAAGCAGATACCCCCAACAATGCTGTGGCTTTTGCTGTCAGCGGGGAAATGTAGCTCTTTGCAGTCTTACTGAGGGCTTACATGCTAAATTGGCAAGACAGGACCTGTGTGGCATGCACCCTTCTGCTCTCAGGGAAGGGTAAATGGACATCAGAGGGATGTACATGGGATGTAGAAATGGCAACATACATCTCTGAAGAGAGGCATCGCATCCAGTTTTCAGACAGGTCAATCAGGGAAATAGATTTCCAGATGATCTCTTTATATGGACTTCCAGGGGTGAAGGATGATTTGCTGTTGACTATACGTAGACCCAAAATATGGAACAGGCTGAGGACTAAAGCCACAAACACACAGACCTCCAGATTTGCCTACTTAAAAGATTCAACGGCTACCTCCTGGTTCTCTGAAAACTCTTGTGAAATAAACTGGTAACATTATCAGTTGCATGGGATTAATGTACAAACCACAGGCGCTTCCTGTGGTCTGGCAGAGTTGCAATAAGGAATTTGCATGCCTTAGAAGAGGAGAGTCACTACTGAACTCTAAGTATGCAGTAAAGGAAGGAGAGTCTAGAATTTCAACCCAGACTGATATACATACATATTTTATCTTCTTCTTTCTAGTCAGTGTAAAAAAACATCACAATATGATTTCACAGTGAACTCCTGAGATACCTTTTATGGTAGTTTGGTGTGGTAGTGATGCCACTTCTTCCCTCATATAGTTTTCACTAAAATCATCCCTTGAGAGGAACAGAAACTGGAACTTTGCTATTCACCATGAAGACATTTCCATTTGTCTGCAGCTACGCCATCCAGGCCTGGAGGAAAAGAGAAAGTGATATCCAAAGACAGAATAAGAGGAGGACATTTCTGGCAGGGCAGCATGAAGCTCTTGACCTGTATGTCAGACTTACTGAGGAGACAACGGAGCTAGTGAACTTGTTCTGTTGCTGTTGTGCCCAAAGTGATATCCTTCACCTATGCTAGCTTTGATACTTACACAGAATTTTGGTTCTTTACACAGAACTTGAAAAGGCCTTCAAAGTACATGAGAATCAAGTCTTCTATGGTATTCTGTACTTTTTGGAGAAGGTTGGGACTTTCAAGCTTCTTATTACAATTATTACAGCCATGGCTCCAGTTCTCAACTTCTACAACCATTTTTGTTACTTCTGAGCTACTAGGTATCTTCATTGGCATCTGGGACAAGTTGCCTGTAAAGGGTTTGATCAAAATCGTGACGACAGGAACTCACTGGAGGTATTTGAAGTGGGAGGAGAGTAAGTTCACAATGCTGAGGAATTAATACTGGAAGCATAAGGCTGAACTGGCAAAAATTAATAAGCAAGAGAGATAGGAAGAATGTGGTTCTTCCTCAGCCCATGCCAATTTGGGTTGATGGTAAGACCTCTGATATGGCCAAGACTGCCAGTGCTATAGCTACAAGGCAAGCTCCAGGTAAACAAAGTAAGCATACATATTGGGAGAGAACGCAAATATGTCCTTAAATGTACCCATGGATCTCTCTTAAGAGAAGCCAGCAGTAGAAGTTCTGGCTGATGCTCTGGCCTGTCTCACAGCAGCAGGAGGACACAGCAATCATCTCCAGTACCGAATTCAAGAGTTCACAGAAGAGAAACCTGTGAGAACTATTAAAAATAACACACCACCATCATGAGTAAGCCTCAGGCTGCTGGATGGCAGCAGACTGTGCTGGGGAGGCGTCATTGTATGTTTTATCTTATCCCCTTCCCTGGCATCCACTTCTAGCCAGTCCCTGAATCTCTGAAACAGGGCTTGGAGCCACACAGGCCTTTGGTCTAACCCAGCAGGGCTGTTCACGTGTCCTCACAACACTGCTGGACTCCTGACTGTGGTACCTCACTGTCAGGGGACTGGAAGGTGGCTGATGTGATGCCAGAGAAAGAGCTCGAGGGGAGGGGCCCAACATTCCAAGCAAATGAACCGAAATCGGAGTAAGAGTATTAATGGACAGATGACCAAAGAGGGCAGACTGGGGAAGAGCTGGCATGGCCTTTGGAAAGAGATGTCTCACTTCACAAACCACTTGGAGTTCTTTAGAGATGTCACCAGTTTTAGCAAAAGGGAGATCTGGAGTCCAAAGGCATTCCCAAAAGACATTTGTCCTTCACCAAAACTGAGAAAGAAACTAATCTGCTGTGGGATGAATGACCCTCAATAAGGTGGTAAGGGAGGGAAAGGGGAGGTGGAAACATATGCTGATGATTCTGTGTTATTCAGGGTTAAAGACACAAAGGCCGAGTATAAAGAGAAACTGTGGCAGGTGACAGGGGAATGACAGGGGACATTCACTGCAGGTAAACATCAAGAACTGCAGAGGGGAACAGTCTCTTTACCTTGCACTTATACCAGGATGGGCCTAGGATGTTCTTGGTATCGTTCAGGAATAACACCCTGGAGTTAGAGCAGATGGATGAAAACTGAAGCTCCTAGGCAGACAAACAGCTAGTCAAATGTTAGTGATTGTTGGGAAAAAAACAGAGGATAAAAGCGAATGTAATTCTGCCTTGCTGCTCAAGCCCCACATCCTAACTGTGTACAAGGGGGCGGATGGATCCCCCATTTCAGAGAAACTCTAATGGAGCTGAGGAAGATACAGAGGCATGGCATGAATGATCAAAGGCACAGAACAGCTTCTGTATAGGAGATAACTCAACTGCCCATTCTGCTGGGAAAAGGTGATAGGGGATATCACAGAGAACTATAAAAACACAAGTGGCCTGTGGGGTGGGTAGGGATCCATCCTGCACCATCTGTTCTAAATTAAGAACTACTGACATCAAATGAACTACTAGAAGGCAGCTTCAGAGCAAACCGAAGGAGGCAGCAACTCATAAAACAGCTGAATAAGCGGTGGAACTCTTTGCTGCAAGCTGTCATGGATGCTAAAATGTACATAGCTTCAGAAGGCAAGAAAGTACACAGTGAGCGGCAAATACCGGGACGTCAGATGTCTAGTTCGGGAGTTTCTGAAGCCACAAATTGCTTGGGCCTGGGAAAGCACACAGGGACACACCACCGCTTGTCTGCTCTGCTGCGTGCCTCCAGTACTGGCCACTGTCAGAGACGGCAGGCAGAGCTGGAAGCACCCTGGTCCGGCCCAGTACCGCTACTCTTGCTCATTCTGGTGGGATCTGGGTATCCTGGAGCCGTTTTTCTCACCAACAGGTTCACAGATGATCGCACCCGCCCCTTACCTGGACAGGTGCCACTCAGAACGGTCTTCCCTTTGTAGGCGTGGAGGTGGGAGAACCACAGTTCCTCCTTCTGATCCATGTGGGAGATCATCTCCAGCTCCGCTCCTGGAGGTCCTGCTCCGGGAAAAGAAACGGCGAGGGTCAGGAGAGCTGGGCTTTAACTGACCGCTCCGAGCGGAGGGGCTTCTGCACTTGGGAACTCGCAACTCCCCGCTGAGCAGGGACCCCCGCTCCGCGGGGCGCAGCGCACGGCGCGCCGGGCTCCCCAGCACCCCCACCGCCCCGGGGGAAT